GCTCGCGGGACCCCCTTCCTCGGCCGATGGCCCCCAGCCGGGGCAGTGTCCCTTCCCCGGGACCCTCAGCTCCTCGGGATGGTGACGAGCACCTCGCTATGGTTCTCCTTTTCTTGGGCTTTTCCTCATTATATGCCAGGTAAAATAGTCAGAGATCCCTTCTTCCTGGTGTTTTCTTCCTCCAGAAGTTTGAGGACAGATTTTGCTGCAGCCTTTTCAAGAAACAGCACTGGAAAATCTTTCCTCTTTTGTTAATTTCTTTTTTTTTTCCAACATTAGCAGAACATTTGTTTGCATGACAGTTCCCATTTAGCTTTTGACAAGCTCTATAGCTGGTCAATTTATTTTACTTTTTAAGTGATATGATGAATAAAGAAAAAAAATTACTTTCTTTTGCCAGCACTACATAGACATTTGCCTTTGTAAAATAATTATTATTTATGACTCCTTTAATGATTGTACAGCACAATTTTATGGTGTTTGATTCTCCCCCTTTAGGACCAGAATTTTATCACTGAATTTTGATGCAGGAAGAGTGCATGTGCATAATATGAGATATCCGAAATGCCTGGACAACTCTGTGCATGAATAATCTTCTGCTTTCAGGACTGTCACAGGTGCCATGGTCACGGCCGGGCCAAGTGCGGGGTGTGCCACGGGGCAGGTCGGGTAAGGAGCTGGGAAACCTTCACCGGGCAGCCTGCAGTTCCTGTTCCTTTAAGTTTGGGCTTCATCTGTGAAATTATATCTCGTGCTGTTGTATTGCTGTGCTTATTATGAGGGTTAAAGTCTGGGGGGAGGTTCTGGGTTCCTCCCTGTGCCGCCCTGCATCCCAAAGCCGCTCCTGCGCAGTCCGGTTCCTGGGGTCTCTGCAGAGATGCTGATGGGGTTGTCAAAATCCTGCCCAGAGAGCAAAGATATCTTACCCTGTCCTCCCTCGACAGCCTGCGTGTTATAACGGTGAGAGGGCCAGGACAATTAGCCTCTGCACTGTTGAAATGAGGTCAGACCTTAGGCACGAGGCACAGCAGCCTGTTTGCTGTCTTTCAGGTACGCTCGGTTCTGTGTTCGGGGTTTCCGAAGGGAAGAGGAGGCTTAACCCAGGGGTGCGAGTGCAGCTGCAAATCTGGCCTCCTGTCTTTATCTGTTCTGCACAAATATTCCCAAAGACAGCCAAAGGATGTACTGTTATTGCACTAAAGTTACCACTTGATTAATCTGATCAAATATGAATAGTTAAATAGAAGTCTACTACTAACTATGTTAATAAATAACAGTAAAAAAATCACATAAAAACCATAAAAATCAGTAAAAAAGACATTTCAACTGAGATTGTGATTCCAGTTTGCATCACTGGCGAGTTTGACTGGAACACCTAATTAATCCAGAGTCACAATTTATGAGCTATTTTGTGCATTCTTTTCATTTGCTATGTATATGCTCAGCATCTACCCTTCTCTGCAAGCCTGAGTTAGCAATTATTCTGATAACACACATAAAAGCTTTTGATTTATAAACCTGACGTGTTTTTACTCTGGCAGTCACCACCTATTTGAATGCTTTGGTGTATTTGTAGACGAGGTGTGTAACGTGCAAGGGATCCCGACGGAGGCTAAAGCAGCAAAAGAGATGCCAGCTTTGTTCAGGTACAGGTCGCAAAAGGTACGGTGGGCTCCTCTGCGCATCGCTTGGCGTGGCTCTGCTCGGGCCGGCCGTATCGCTTCCCTCAGGCAGCACGGTTAGTGGGAACCAGTTATCCCAGTCCCACTGGCACTGGATCTGCTCGAAGCAGGAAAATACTGGAAAGCTGGTAGAGGGAAAAAAGCCTTTAATCCAGTATGTTTGAGCCACAACGGCTCCACTTGCCTGTTGCTGGCAGAGGTTGCAGTGCAGAGCCGGGTATGCTCTCCGTGCCTGTCTGCTTTTTTTGTTTTCTACCATGAAGACGACCTAACAGATAAAGCAGTGCAGCAGTAGCTTTATTCTCTGGAAAAAAATGGTTAGAAATAGCCATTTCTGCCTCTGAGTTTTAAATGAACTTCCATTTTAACATCTATTATTCAAACTGTGTGCCCCACTCAGCATTCAGAAACCGGGCTGGTACCCCAAACTCATGAGAGAAACTCTTCAGCATTTGGAAAATAGTAATTTTTTGGCTCTCCTTTCTTTCATATTTTTTACCTTTCTATTTCAAGACTGTTGCATTTCCCAGCACCTTTGGGAAACTGGAGAACGCGTGAGGCTTTCCCATGAAAGCAGAGTTTCTCAGACCTTCAGGAACTGTGGCAGAAAAGAGGCTTCGAGTCTCTCCGGGTCCACGTTCCAGCTCCCGTCCCGAGTGCCGGCGGGCTCAGCTCGGTCAGAGCACGGGGAGCGGGTGGTGGGACGGGGCTAGAAGGACGCAGCCCGGGATGTCAGCAGCAAACTTCGGAGCTGCTCTGAGGTCTGGTTCCTGCGGCGCCCGGTCGGGGTTTGGCAGGTCTCATGGCCAGTACAGCCTGGACAGTTATACCCACCCTCTGTTTTTTTTCCAAATGTGAAACTTAACAGGCCTAAAAATGATCTTTAAGTGACAAAAAAAGAGAAGGCACTGTTCTAAAACTGTTTTGTTTATGTGGCTTCATTAAGTTTAAAATAACAGAGATGGTATTGTGCATAATCATGGCAGTCATTTTAAAGCATGAATCCACTGGGGCTAATGATGGCTTGAAGAGCCTTAATGAATCAGTTGTTAACTGCTGCTAATCTGTGTTGCATTGATGCAATCAAAATGCTCCATGCATAAGCATATGCCTCCTGCATCTGTTAGAAGCACAGGCAGCAGCGTCTTCAAAGTGACACTCGCCTTCCTACCGTTGTGTGGGGAAATTGTGATTATCCTTAATTAGATGTACAAATACATTCTTTGACTAATTCCACACTTACAAATAGATTTGAGGCTGGCATTAGTCATTTGTTTTCCCCAGCAAATACGCTGTATCCCCTGAGTCACAGACCGGGGGAAGACGCGTGCGGTGCCCGTGCTGTCGTTGACTCCTGGGCTGCTGACCCAGCTGAGCTACGCCAACGGCCTGAAATGAATCACCTTCAGGTCCGCAGGCTCTGAAAGCGGGCGGCGCTGAGAGTCCTGTTTAAAATCCTCATTGTTGCATCCAAAGGTGCGGTACCTGTTCTGGCTGGGGCAGCAAGACCTGTGCAACCTGTCATGGAGAGAAAAAGCTCCAACATTTCAAGCAGCTGGTGATAACCTGGTAAGCAGCACGGGCAGAAGTTCAGAGTTGTTACTTTTATTCCTTGTTTTACTGCAGGGCTTGGGAGCTCAGCTGTGCTCCCTAAGGGGGAGCTGAGAGAGCGTTTCTCTCCTCTGGCCAGGCAGAAACAGGGGCTTAGAGGGGCAGCTTTCCTCCTTGATGGGACCCACGGGGCGTGGTGGGAGCTGAAGTGGGTTCACAGAGGTAAAGGACTGTCCGAGGTCACATGAAAAAGTGCAGAAAGTCAGAAACGGAGACGGAGCGGCTGATCCTCTGCCTGGTACGAGCGTGCCCAGCCCAGCCCCAAAGCCCCGGCAGCCAGGAGCAGCGTGGGGCAGTGGCCGAGCTCCTTTTTTTTGGGTTTGGTGATGACCCGAGGCTGCTGGCTGTGGCATTGCTCTGGCATTTCCCATTTGGGAGCTCTAGTGCCAGGGAGAACAGATGAGGCTGAAAAAGATCTTAGCTTTGAGGTTTAGCTGAAAGCCATTACCTGCCCTGCTGGGTGCTTCCTGAGCACTTTCCCGTTTTTGTACAAAATGCCTTCAATTACCCTGTGTGAAGACGTTCATTTTTCAAAACGCCATCTCTGTCCATCCTGAGATGGAAATTGCCCCCGCCGTGCCCGCCACGCTGGTGGGACTCCTGCGGAGCCCCAGGGCTGCACTACCCCGACAGCACAGCTCTGCCAGATGAGACCTTCACCTCCTTTGGAGGCCATCATCATCACTAACCATGCCCGTGTCCTACAAGTAACAGTGCAAAATGTTTGCTATGATAGGAGCTCTGGCTTTGGAAAGGGAATATAAGACCTCTCCTGCTGCAAAGGAGTTAATAGGCGTAGCAGGCTCTGAAAGCCATAAGGCAAGGTGATCACCATGAAGGTCTGATTTCAGGATTATTCATGCAAGAGTCATCCATGGTTGTTGCATATACAAGGTTATTAAGAAACTAATGGGGGAGCGCACAAAGGTTAGGCAGGCGTGACTATTGTCCTCAGAAACCAGGGAGCATTCAAGCATAGCTCAGGCATTTAGAAAGAGCCTGGGGATAGCTCGGTGCCCCACAACCAGCCTCGGATCATTCGGTCATTTCCCCTCTCTCTTGCAGGAAGAACAATGTCTTTGAATTTGTTTCTGAGCATCACCTGAACTTCCCAGGAGAGCTGCTCAGCAAAGTCAGTGGAGAGAATATATTTAAAGATGAAAATGTGATGGTGAGTGCAACTTGTTGGGCCGGAGGGGATCCCTCCCTGAGCGGCTGTGAACGAGGGGTGTGGAAAATTGGTTCTGCCAGCGGCTGCTCTCGACACAGCCATAACCAGAACCTTCTCCTGCAGCGGAGCTGCCGAGTTCCTGTTCACGGGACTCAGCTTTTCCCGCTTCTACAGTCAGGAGGAACGTAGGGAGCAATGCGATTATGAAATCCAGCAGAAGTGGGTCGTCTTTTGTCAGCAGCTACTGGGAGATCACGACTTTGCTGCTCCCTGCGGGGGGACCGTGGGGCCAGGGAGCTGTCAGACTGGAACAGAAATGCTGCCGCAGGGGTACCCGCAGGTGACCTGTGCGGTCTGACGGTGCAGCACCAGGACCAGAGCAACGAGGTGGCTTCGGTTGCCCCTAGGTACTGCAGAGCATCCTCGGCTTCCTCTGAGGAACTGAGAGTCGTCGGGTTTTCTGCCTGACCAAACGTGGCCAACCCGTGCTGCAGCAGTCAGCGCCCGACCCCCCAGGTTACTTTCGGTGGCCGTGGCCAGACTAGCAGAAATCCCACCCCAGAGTTGTTCTCCACAGCTCTCCAGCAATACTGGGAGCCCTGCAGCTGCACATCCATCCCTCGGGCTTTTTATATTGTCCCCTGCACGTTTGCCACTGCCTGCGCGGCGTCAGCACCGTCGGCTGCAGGCTTTGCAGGGAGAGGGCATGGGAAGGCAGCTCTTGGCCCTTGCCGGAGCGCCTGCGTGGCATTGCCATCAACCAGCAAAGCCACCGGCCCGCAGAGCTGCCAGGAGTTCATCCCACAGGCAGGAGCTGATCCTGCCAGCTTTGGAGCCAGGATCCAGCGCAGAGGTGCTGCTGCTGGCCGGGGCTGCTCGCTGGGCTGCTGTGGGGACGAGTCGTTCGTCAGTGCTGGACATCTCTTGTCCTCCAGCTCCCGTGGTACAGGGCTCCCGGGGGGAATCTGCCTCCGTATACCTGTAAAAGCCTGAGGCAAACCAGTCGGAAAACAGCTGAGACACAGCACTCTCCTACAGCCAATGCCATTTCTGTACGGCTCAGTCCTCAGCTTGAGGGTCTTTTAAATGCGAATGCAAGCGAGTGAGGATTTAACTGTGCCATTTTATTATTTATTAGTTGTTTTGCAGTAACCTGTAGAAACTTTAGTCATGTACCAAGATAGGGAGATAGGCACCATCCAAGCATGGAGCAGCTCTCCCCCAGAGAGCCATTACTCAGCGTCATGCATCTGCAGTGAAGACTTTGCATCTGGTGTTGCAGAATCCCTGTGGGACTTGAATGATGCTTTAGCATCTGAGTCACTCTCCAATGAATGCTTTAGATCCGAAGTCCTATGAGCATTAAAATCAGTGGGCCTCTCACGTAAATGGCTGTTGCTCCTGGCTATGCAAGAAGTAGCTGCACTCGTGAGTAGTTCTGCTTTGCCCACAAGCCTGGTATTTCTTCTGTAAATTGTCCGCATGCTGGGGGAAGACAGAGAGGCTTTAAAAGCCTTTCAAATTGAACAGTGCTGCGCTGCTGGAAGAAGGTGATGGTGAGTCCTGTTGGGGCACAGAGTCTGTGTCACCCAGTGCCAGTTTTTAACCAGAGCCGCAGCCTCTCCCGGTGCTGTCCTGCTCCGGCGGCAGCACTGACCTCTGTCCGGAGGCACGGTCCCGTTTTGAGCACTCGTACCTTTTGCTGGGGTGGGAGGGACACGCCTTTGGGACTTTGAGCTTGGCATTTACTCTGTATATTGCCATTATATCCCAGGTCTTTCCTTGCGCGTGCCAGTATCGAGTGAAAGGAATACGTTTGTGCCAGACAAACAGGGTCTCTCTTTTGCACGGTTGGGTTTATTTCTTGCAGGTGTACCCCATCATCAACTTTCCCGATCCCGAGATCTCCCTGGCCTCGCAGCGAGCCATCGCAGAGCACAGCGCGGCCTTTGCCCGCATCCTCCGGCAGGTAAGGGGGAGCCGGGACCGGAGCCGCCTGCGCGTCC